CTGCGCCGCCCGCGAGCTCAACATCACCCCCGCGGCGGTGGGGCCGTGCCAGCTCCGTGCCCTCAACCTCTCTTTGGGGACCCCCCCGGGGCCGTGCCGCCCCCACGGGCTGGCCTGCGACTTCCCCGAGGTGAGCGGTTTTGGGGTGCTGGGATGGGATTTCCCCTCCCCTCAGGCATGGGATCCCGTTGGGGTGCTGGTGTAGGGCAGCCAGCGGGGGCCCTCGAGGGTGCCGGGTGCTGGTTGTGGGGTCCTGAAGGTGTAGGGACCCCAAGGGTGCTGGTATGGGGTTTCTGAGGGTGTAGGGTGCTGGCACGGGTCCCTGTGGGTGCAAAGTCTTTGGGGTGTGTTGGTGGGGTGGGGGCTGAGTGAGTAGGGTACCCCCCCCAGGGTCCTTACTGTGTCCCAAGGGTGCTGGCACAGGGGTGCAGGGTGTCACCGTGAGGTCCCCAAGGGTGCTGGCACGGGGTCCTTGAGGTTATAGGGTGCTGGCATCGGCCCCTATGGGTGCAAGGTCCTACATGGTGCTAGCATGGGGTCCTTGTGTGTGCAGGGTGCTGGCACGGGGTCCCCATGGGTGCCGTGTCCCCAAGGGTGCTGGCACGGTGTCCTTGAGCTTATAGGGTGCTGGCATCAGCTTTATGGGTACAAAGTCCTGCACCCCACAGGTGCCAGGTCCCTGCAGCTGCAGGACGGCCCCGGGGATGGGGTGGGGGGTGCCCACGGGTGCCACCGCAGCCCCGCGCACCCCCTACCTGTGTGTCCCGTGTGTCCCCCCCCCCCCATAGTACTTCACCTACAGCGTGCTGCTCAGCCTGCTGGCCTGCTCCGTCTTCCTGCACATCAGCAGCATCGGGAAGCTGCTGCTGATGGTGGCCATCGAGGCCACCTACCTGGTGCTGGTGGAGGGCCCCCAGGCCCCCCTCTTTGACAACGCCGACCTGCTGGTGGTGGCCAACGCGCTGTGAGTGCCCCCCCCGACGCCCCCCCCCCCTCCCCGGGGGGTCCTTCCCAATCCGGGGTCCTCACCCCGCTGACCCGATCGCCCCTCTGTCCTCCCCGCAGGCCCTTCTTCAACGTGACCCAGGGCGAATGGTGAGGGGGGAACTGGGGGAACTGGGAGCAGTGGGGTGCTGGGAGAGGAGGGGAGCGGGGAGGCGGCGGGAGGGACTCCTGGGGGGCTGTGCTGGGAGGGAGGGGGCGTTTTTGGGGTCTCTGTGTGTCCCTTTGGGGTCTCTGTGTGTCCATTTAGGGTCTCTGTGTGTCCCTTTGGGGTTTTTGTGCGTCCCTTGGGGGTCTTCGCGTGTCCCTTTGGGGTTTCCACATGGCACGGCGGCATCTTTGGGGCTCTGGGCACATCTTTTGGGGGCTCTGGGAGGTTTTTTGGGGCTTTGGGTTCACCTTCAGGGACGCCTCGGGTCTGGTTACATCTTTAGGGGTGCATCTTTGGGATGTGGGTGCATTTGGGGGGGGTGTCCGGGTGCACTAGGGGAGGTGCATTTGTGGGGGGTCCGGGTGCATTTGGGGGGGGTCTGGACACATCACTAGGCTCCTGTTGGGGTACAGCCTTGGGGTCCGGTGCCCGCTGCCGTGTCCCCATCCCCACGGCGGGGCCCAGAGGCTGCACCCCCAAGCCCCCTCTACCCCACCCTGGGGGTCGCGGTGTGCTCAGCCTTGGGGGGGGGGGGGCTCCTCCCGCAGCCCGGCGGAGGGCAAGGTGGCCCTGCGCTACGTCACCCCCGTCGTCCTGGCCGTCTTCGCCCTGGCCCTGTACCTGCACGCGCAGCAGGTCGAGTCCACCGCCCGCCTCGACTTCCTCTGGAAGCTGCAGGTAGCAAGGGGGGGGGACACAAAAACCTGGGCACAGGGACCCCCCCACATCCCCCCGGCGTGGCTCCAAGGGTTGTTACGGACGCAGGCGACGAGCGAGAAGGAGGAGATGGAGGAGCTGCAGGCCTACAACCGGCGGCTGCTGCACAACATCCTGCCCAAGGACGTGGCGGCGCATTTCCTGGCCCGCGAGCGGCGCAACGACGAGCTCTACTACCAGTCCTGCGAGTGCGTGGCCGTCATGTTCGCCTCCATCAGCAACTTCTCCGAGTTCTACGTCGAGCTGGAGGCCAACAACGAGGGCGTCGAGTGCCTGCGGCTGCTCAACGAGATCATCGCCGACTTCGACGAGGTGGCCGCGGGGCGCTTGGCAGGCCACGGAGGGGGCGCAGGGGGATGAACCCCATGGGGGTGAGGTGTGGGGGGACCCCTTGGGGTCTCCTTGGGAATCCTTGACTCCCCTTAGGGACTTCTTGGGTCCTCTTGGGGTCCTCTTGGGTCCTCTTGGGGTCCCCTTGGGTCCTCTTGGGGACTCTTTGGGGACTCTTGGGTCTCCCTTGCCTCCTCTTGGGTCCCTCTTGCGTCCTCTTGGGTCCTCTTGGGGTCTCCTTGTGACTCTTTGGCTCCCCTTGGGGACTCCTTGGTGACTTTTGGGGTCCTCCTTGGGTCGTCTTGGGGACCCCTTGGGGACATTTGGGGACCCTTTGGGTTCTCCTTGGGGACTCCTTGGTGACTTTTGGGCACTCCTGGGGTCCTCTTGGGTCCCCTTGGCTCCCCTTTGGGGACTCTTGAGGTCCTTTTGGGGACTCCTTGGGGACCCTTGGGTCCCCTTGGCTCCTCTTTGGGGACTCTTGGGGTTCCTTTGGGGACTTTTGGGGACTCCTTGTGGACTTTTGGGGACTCCTTGTGGACTTTTGGGGACCCATGGGGACGGGGGAGGCCATGGAGCAGCACACGAAGGAGGACGAGGAGCACAGGGCCGGGGCACGTAGGCCCCAGCGGGGCGGTGACGGAGCGCTGCGGGTGCTCGGTGGGCGGGTGGGGGGTCACAAAACCAGTGCTGTGTCCCCCCCCCAGATCATCAGCGAGCAGAAATACCGGCAGCTGGAGAAGATCAAGACGATCGGCAGCACCTACATGGCGGCCTCAGGCCTCAACGCCGCCACCTACGACCGTGAAGGCCGCAGCCACATCGCGGCGCTGGCCGACTACGCCATGCACCTGATGGAGCAGATGAAGTACATCAACGAGCACTCCTTCAACAACTTCCAGATGAAGATCGGTGAGTGGCCCCCCCCGTGACCCCCCCCAGACCCCGTTTCCCCCTTTCCGCTGCCCCAATTTCCCTTCTTTGCCCCAATTTTCCCCTCTTTGCCCCAATTTTCCCCTTTCCTCTCTCCCTTTTTGCAGCTGCCCCCATTTTCCCTTTTTTTGGCCCCTCCTTTTCCTCTTTTTTGCCCCCCCTCCCCTTCTTTGCCCCCTTTTTTGCCCCCCCCCCCTTTCCCCTCCTTGCCCCCATTTTCCCCTTTTTGCCCCCCCCTTTCCTCCTTTTTGCTCCCCCATCCTCCTCTTTGGCCTATTTTTTTGCCCCATCCCCTTCCCCTTTTGCCCCCCCCCTTTCCCCTTTCCCATTTTTGCCCCCCTCCCTTTCCCCTTTTTGCTCCCCCATCCCCCTCTTTGGCCTCCTTTTTTTGCCCCTTCCCCTTTTTCCCTTTTTTTGACCCCCTTTTTACCCCCCTTTCCCCTTTTTACCCCCCTTCCCCTTTCTCCTTCTTCCTCCCCCTTTCCCCCTCTTTCCCCCCCCTTTTTTTTTTTCCTGTCCCTTTTCTCCTTTTTTTTGCCCCCCCTCCTGCATTTTACCCCCCCCCTTTCCCCTTTTCACCCTCCCCCTTCCCCCCCCTCCCCATCCCACTGCTTCTCCGTCTGTCTGTGTGTGCGTGTGTTGCTGGGGGGGGTGTCCTTGACACTCTGCCTCCCCCCCACCCCTATTTTGACCCCCCCCCAGGCCTGAACATGGGCCCGGTGGTGGCGGGGGTGATCGGGGCGCGCAAGCCCCAATACGACATTTGGGGCAACACCGTCAACGTCTCCAGCCGCATGGACAGCACCGGCGTCCCCGACCGCATCCAGGTAAGCTGGGACCCGGGGGGGGGTACACGGACATTTTCCAGCCCCCCCAAACCCCCTACTCACCTTTTTGTCCCCCCCCCTCCCAGGTGACCACGGACCTCTACCAGGTGCTGGCGGCCAAGGGCTACTCGCTGGAGTGCCGGGGGCTGGTGAAGGTCAAGGGCAAGGGGGAGATGACCACCTATTTCCTCAACGCTGGCCCTGGGGGGGGCAGTTAGGACCCCCCCCCCCCCCCCCTTTCAGCCTGCTCCGGGCTCAGGCAAAAAAAAAAAAAAAAAAAAAAAAAAAAAAGAGGACCCCCCCCCCCCAAAAAAAAAGGTGAAAGGAAAAGCCAAAAGGGAGGGAAAAAAGGGAGAAATTGGGGGCGGGGGGGCTGGGATCTCACCCCCCCCCCGACCCCAGGCGCTGTTTTTTTGGGGGCTGACCCCCCCCCCCGAATGAGGGGGTTGGGGCTGCTCCCCCCCGCAATGGGGGGGTTAATTGGGGGTTGGGGGGGGGCAAGGTGCAGCCTTTATTGAAATTCACCCCCCCAGTGCCAAAGAGGGGGGGTGGGGACCCCTCCCTTGCCCTCCCCTCCCCCCCCTCATGGTTTGGGGGTCCGGGGGGGGGGGTCCCAGCCCCCCCCGTGCCCCCCTCCCCAAGCTCTGAGGGGGGGGTTGGGGGCACGCTCTGCAGGGGGAGGGGCAGCCCCCCCCCCCCACCTTTTAATGCAAAAAAAAAACCTGACTGAAGTGACTTTTTTTTTTTTCTTTTATTTTTCCTTTTATTTTTTATTTTCAAGCAGCTGGGGGGGGGGAGGAGGGGGGGGCTCAGCCCCTTTACCCCCCCCCCACCCCACCGCGGTACGGACCCACCCCCCTCATACCCCCCCCACCCCCCCCAAAAAAAAAAAAACTTTTCCTGTACAGATAAATTATATAAACGCACTTTGATACGAGCCGTGCCGTGCCCTTGGGGGTCAAAGGGGCGGGGGGGTCAAAGGTCAAAGGGTTAAAGGTCAAATGTTGGAGGGTTTGGGGAGGGGGCGCGCGCGCGTGTGCGTGAGGGGGGGGGGTCACACAGGGCCCACCGCCACCCCCCTACTGAAGCCACTTCCGGCTCGGCGCTGGCGCGCATGCGCCGTGCTCCCCTCTCCTCCGTCCGTTGACGTCAGCGCGTGCGTGCGTGCGTGCGTGCGCGCGCGGATCCGCCATGGAGGCCTCGGCGGGCGGCGGGGCCGGCGGCGCGGCGGGGCGGCGCTGGTACTTCAGCCGCGAGCAGCTGGAGCGCAGCCCCTCGCGCCGGGCCGGCCTCGACCCCGACAAGGAGCTCTCGTACCGGCAGCAGGCGGCCAACCTGCTGCAGGACATGGGGCAGCGCCTCAACGTGTATCCGGGCCTGCGCTTCGGGCCTACACCGCCGCCGCTGCCGCCGCCGTTGGCGGGGCCTGCGCTGAGGGGAGGGGAAGGGGGGGGGATTAAAGAGGGTGGGGGGGGACGGGGAGAGGTTGGGTGTGGAGAGGGGGGAGCAGGGACTGGAGAGGGGGGAGCCGGGGAGAACCGGGCCTGGAGCTGGGGAGAGCCGGAACCGGGGGGGTTCCGGGCCCGGAGAGGGGAGAACCGGGCCCAGGGGAGCGCGAGCCGAGGAGAACCGGGCCCCAAAAGGGAGGAGCCGGAGCCGGGGGGAGGTGGGGAGAACCGGGGCTGGGGGAGGTTGGTACCGGAGAGCAGGGAGCTGGGTGTGGAGTTAGGGGGAGTCAAAGGGAGCTGGGGGGAGAACGATCGTGGAGGTGGGGGGCTGGGGATGGAGTGGGGAGGGTTGGGGGGAGCTGGGGGGAGATGAAACCAGAGAGCCGGGAGGAGAGAGCCAGGGGGAAGCCGGGTCCGGAGCAGGGAGAGCCAGGAGGGTCTGGGGGGAGCCAGGCCTGGAGTGGGGAGAGCTGGGGGGCACTGGGGGGAGACAGCACCAGAGAGGGGAGAGCTGGGTGGAGCCTGGCCCCGGAGTGTGGGGAGCAAGGCCTGGTTCTGGTGTCAGCAGGAGCTTAGGAAGCTGGTTCCAGCCACAGGGGAACCGGGCTTGAATTTGGGGGATCCAGGCTTGGGTTTGGGGGGCCGGATCCATCTCAGCAGCAGGGCCTGGGGGAGGGGGCTGGGCCCAGCCTGGTGTTTTGGGGCTGGAGGTGTTCCCCGAGGGGTTGTGCCTTTCCTTAGCCCCGCCACCAGCTCGCAGCTCACCATCAACACGGCCATCGTGTACATGCACCGCTTCTACATGGTGCAGTCCTTCACCCAGTTCCACAGGAACGTAAGTGCTGGGGGGGGGGGCTCCGGGGGTCCCTGGCTCTGCTCCTGCTGCCAGGAGGGGCTGGGGGGGGGTCACGGTGACGTGGTGGGACCTGCCCCAGGGAGGGGGCTTTGTATCTGCTGCGAGGCACCAGAGATCCTTCATCTTCCTGGTGGCGTGTAGCCTTGTGCAGGCTTTATTTGGCAAAATTAAATCATTATTATGTATTTTTTAATTAAGCTAAACATTCGTCTGATTTTATTTGCTCTGATTTAAGACTTTAGAACTTAAAAAGAGTAAATTTTTTTTTTCCCCCCGCAGTCGGTGGCACCGGCGGCTCTGTTCCTGGCAGCCAAGGTGGAGGAGCAGCCCCATAAGCTGGAGCACGTCATCAAGGTGGCTCACGCCTGCCTGCATCCCCAGGAGCCTCCTCCGGACACCAGGAGCGAGGTGAGCGTTGGGGTCGGGGAAATCACCCCGATGTGAGGAGCTGGGGCACGGGGAATGGGAAGGGGCTGCCCCCCGAGCAGCTCCTCCTTAAATTTTGTTCCAAAGGAGCCGCTCTAGAAGCACGTGGCTGCGCCCCGGGGTGGGCAGTGAGAGCTTTCAGGTTCTCCTCTGAGCTGCAGAGAGCTTTTGGGCAGAGGATGGCGTGGGGCAGCTGGGGCTGCTCTGTCCCCACACCTTCAGCAGTGGGTTTGGTAGAAACATTGCCAAATTTCTCAAGACTTAACCCAAAACCGAGCAGCCAGCCCTGTGGGAAAGGGGAAGCTTTATCCGGGGAAGCTTTAGGACAAAAGCTGCCTCCTCTCCTGTGAGGGGCTGGGACCGAGAGGGTCTGGATCCTGTAGCTCGAGCTCTGGCAGGGCAGCGGGTCCGCCCTGCTCTGCTTTTTTCCCCTCTGGCAGGGAATCTGTGCCAGGTGGGCACAAAGATTTCCCCTTGCTTTTTTCGCCTCCCTGAGAGAAGGGTTTTAGAAACGGGCAGGCTTCATGGGGAGTGCCTCGTGGCGAGTAACTTGCCTGTCCTCTCAACCCCAGGCTTACCTGCAACAAGCCCAGGACCTGGTCATCCTGGAGAGCATAATCCTGCAGACCCTGGGTAAGTTTTTCAAAGCGGGCGGGCTGCCACACGAATCCCAGAGCCAGGAGTGCTCCACACAGCTGGGGGGAGATGTCCAGCTGTCAGGACAAGAGCCCGGGCAACAAACTCTGCTCTCACCCCACGCTGCTCCTGTTTTCCTTTTAACCTCAGCATTTCCAGGTGTAACTCGCATCTATTTCAATCCTCAGAGAAACCCAAGTGTGGAAGCGTGGCTCGTCTCTTTTTTTTTCCCCCCACAACAGGTTTTGTTCTGCTCAGACACTGGTTGGAGGTTAACGTGATCTGATTGCTCTTTTATTCCCCTCCCAGCCACGTCTTGGTTTTGAAAGCAGAAGCTGGGGCCTGCGCTCGGGGCTGTGACTCCTGGATCCAGCGTCCTGCTTCTTCCGAAAACGTTATTTTTCCTAACATCTCTTCTGCTGCAGATTCAGTTTGTGTGTAGCCCCTCAAAATGCTCAGCTCTCTTATTTCTTTTATTTTTCTGACTGGGTTCGGAGTAAATCCCTGCTGATCCCCACCTTAGGAGGGGTTTGGAGGAGCCAGGGGTGTACAGGGTGCACGTGTTGGCCTCCTGAGCCGGGGGTGAAGCGTGATTCGAGCTATTCTCACTTCTCCCTGTCCCTTTTCTAACTTCCCAGCTCATCTGGAATATTCTGGGCTATTCTGCCTGGAAGGAACCGAGTCTGTTGCCCAGATGGACCGACGGGATTTTTGTCTTTTCTTTAAAACCATAATGCACCAAGTGAATAGGAAACCGAAGCGGGGATTAAGTTCCATTGACTCTTAGGGCTGCAGGCTCCTTCAAAGGGAAAACGTCTGCTTCCTCTTAGCTCTTTGGGTGACAGAAATTCCTTTGAGCAGATGCCATTGTCTTCTCCTTCCTCCCAGCTGCTGGAAGAGGCTTTGTCTTGCTATTTTTAAATTGCTTCATGGTTGTTTTGTTTTCAGCGAGGCCTTTCAAGGCGCAGGACTCGTTGAGCTGCTTGGATGGAGGCCTGGCAGCAGTGGTGACCTTGGGGTTTTGTGGCTGGAGGTCCCGAGCCTTCGGGATAAAGGACAACGGGTTCCTCTTCCCCTGCCCGCCTCCGAGAAGGGGCCGTAGGAGGGAAGGGGAGCAAACCTTGTCCCCCGGGAGCAGGAGACACGAGGTTCGTAGATCTGTTGGTCTCTGCTGCTCGTTACCTGACGGCCTTTTCTCTCTGTCTCCTTCCAGGCTTTGAGATCACCATCGACCACCCCCACACCCACGTGGTGAAGTGCACTCAGCTCGTGCGAGGTAAGAGGCGGCTCCTGCTCGCGACCCCCTGCTGCAGGAGAGCTTGCCCGCGGCCAATAACCGTAGCCAGCATCAAAACAGAGCCATTTAGGAGCACCTCTGGCTCTGCTGAGCCCCCCAGAGCTCTCTGTCTGCTTCTAAAAGCCTTCCCTAGACGTGGCGTGAGCTGATCCAGCTGCTGGGGGCTCTTATTTTGCACGCGGTGGCAAAAAGCTGATGGTTTTTGGAGTAAAACGTAGCAGTGTTTTGTCAGAAGGGCTAACTCCCTGCTTTTTTTCCTTTTCTCTTTCAGCCAGCAAGGACTTGGCGCAAACTTCCTATTTCATGGCTACCAACAGGTTATTATTTTCTGATTAATTAATTCCTATTTGGCAAAGGGTCTTACCTGGAGGAGAGAAGCCCCCGGTGACCCCTGGGGCATTGCTTAGCCAGTGAGCAACCGGGGACTGCTGGGTTTGGTTCGGAGACGGCAGGAAACCTTTCCCTTGCTGGCTTCTGACCCAAACCAGCTGCAAAATCAGCCGTGTAAGCGAGGCAGACGGGCTGCTGTAGAACCTCGCTGCTTTATTTTCCCAGGGTTAGGCAGCTGTTGACAGTTCCAAAAAGAAAAACAGACGTAGGGTGGATTTGAAGCACGGTTTTGCTTGCTTAGTACCTAGGTGTCAGAGAGGGAGCTCTCGCTGGACTGGGTGCTGTGCAGATTCTGAAAACGTGCAATCTGTATCCCCAAAGAAAGCTGATTTGGAGTGTAAAGGGAGAGAAACAGGAGCTGGACACCGGCAGGAGGGATTTCAGGAGAAAAGCACAGCCTTGCCTGGCCTGAATGGCTGCGCTGGCAGGCCAGGAAGCGCTGCCTGCAGGTGGAGTTTGGGAAATTAAAAAAAAAAAAAAGTCTTTTTTTTCACCTTCAGAGGTCCGGGTCGTTCTGTCAGGTGCCACCTGGATTTTCTTGGTGAGGCCTGTAGCAGTCCTGGTGTTGGGACGTCCATCTTTATTTATTTTTTGTAATTTTTGTGTTCTGGATTACCAATTTCAGGCAAATTCCGAGTTGTGGCGACAGAAAACATTGTGTTTCTGGGAGAGAGTTGGCAGAAATTAAAAGATGGGAGAAAAAGCTGGGTTAGGAGTCGGGTCTGCCCCGTGTGCTGCCTAGAGGGGGATGGAGCTTCGTTGTTCGTAAAACACCAAACGAGGAGGCTAAAACAGCAGAAATCTTTGCCTAAACCCAGAAAATAGTTTGGGGGATGGTGGCAAAGCGTCGCCACATCCCCGTCGTGGCGGAGCAGCGCCCAGCAGCACGCCGCTAACGCAGGGAGGCAGCAGGACAGAGAAAACTCGGTGTCACGGCTCCAAAGGGCACCCTGTGGGTTTCCTTCCTGCACTGGTGTGAAGTGTTAGTCCTGCGTGGGGAAATAACCTCCCCGGGACGGGTTTTATCCCTGCAGTGGTAATTGCAGAACCAAAAAACGAGGAGGTCAGGTTAGACTTGAAAGAAATCCAAGCAGCAGGTGAGAAACGCGGCCAGGCAGCCCCGGTTTTGCCCTAACGTGATGCCTCGAAACACCCGATTGAGGTGCTTGAGCAGTAAAGTAGACAAATTCAGGAGTAGCTACAAATATTGAACGTTTTTATTCTTCCTGGCATTGTCGTAGGGCAGAGTTGAGGCTCTTGGGGCACCAGGACTTCACTTCGTAGGCATGCTGGATAAAGGGATAAGGTTTTTTTTTTTTCCTTGCTCTGAATTTCCCAGGTTTGACTTCTTGGTGTGTGGATAAATCCGATACCCACGAAATGATTTCATGCTTTTTTTTGCCCGTTGATGCCCAGCTCTGTGTCTCCACGTTGCGTGGATAGAAAAAGGTTTTGAGTAACCCCCGCGTGGTGAAGAGATGGGGCTGCCGTTACCCCGGAGGGGCTCAGCAGTGTGCTTTGTAAGGGGCTTGTCCACAGGCGTGGCAGCTCTGCCGTGGCTTTTAGGGCCTGGTGGGGTGTTCCTGCAGCTGGAGAGGAAGCTTGTGGGGTGCTGCATCCCACTTCTCAAACGCGCTGTTGGCTCGAGCTCCCCGTTGGGATTTCTGAGGTTTTGGTGCCCTCCCGTCCCAGCTCTGATCTGAGCAAATTTCATTTACTGCTGGAAACGCTTGAGGTGTGGCCGGGCTGCCTTTTAGACGCTCCTGAGTGGCTGCAGGAGGGGAGGGAGAGCAGGGCCTGGCGGTGGCAGGAGCTCCGTGAGCCCGTTTCCTTACGGCAGGCTTCGTGGCTGCAGCATCGGTGCTTTTCCTAAAGCTCCCTGGGGAAAGAACGAACCCTTCCTAAAAGCCCACGGTGGCCAGTTGGAGAAGGCGCACGTCCAACGAGCAGGGAGGTGACTTTTAGCACTTTTAATATTTTTTTTCTTATTTTTTTTTTAATGGAGGAACGTCAGGAAGGTCTGTGCAGAGCGCTGCAGTTCGCGTAGCCAACAGGCCCAATCCTGCTGTGGCTCAGATTTGGGGTAAACAGGATTCAGGGTGAGGTTTAATTTGAAACGCAACCGGTGCAGATCTCTGCAAATTCGGCTCCTAACTGCAAAACCAGACGTGGGCCTTAAGGAATTCGGTGCTTCTGCTGTAAACTGCCCTGACACGAAGGCGAGATCGCTCCCCTCGGAGAGACAGGAGGGGATGAGCGCAGATCCTAGGAGCTTCCTGCTCGACCTGTAGGTTCTTGGAGCGGTAACGACGCCCTTTGCCCGTGGTGTTGCCTTCCCAGGAGCTGCACTGGGACTTTTTTTTGGTTGTTTTTCTCAGGCTGAGCAGAGCCAGCAGCAGAGGTGGGGGCTGGCAGGTACCCCAGCTGCTCCCTCAGAGGAGGGTGTGAGCCTTGAGCTGCCAGAGGTGCCCGGAGCGGAGCGGGGAAGGCAGGAGCAGCCTGGCAGAGTGGGACAGAGACGCCTGTAGGGTTGTGCTGGGGGAGGAACGGCAGGGAACTTCCCCCCCCACCTCCACCTCTTCCGCAGCGTCTCTCCAGTTGGGCGATTGTGTGTGCTGAGGTTCAGGCTTGGGAGTTCATGGCTTTCTGTTTCTCTCTCCCTGCTGGTGACGTCAGCCTGCACCTGACCACCTTCAGCCTGCAGTACACCCCTCCTGTTGTGGCCTGCGTCTGTATCCACCTGGCTTGTAAATGGTCCAACTGGGAGATCCCAGTCTCCACGGACGGGAAGCACTGGTGGGAATACGTTGATGGCACTGTAACTCTGGAGCTCTTAGATGGTAAGTTTTGGAGCAAGGTCCCCCAAAGGCTCTTGTATTATCTTGGCATCTCTGTTCCTGCCATTCCAACACGGCCACCGGCCGGTTCACGGACTCAAAGGGCTTCTGGTTTTGCCAAAGTTTCCAGTGCAGCAGCTGCTATGGTACAACAGAGATGGCAAAAGGCGCACAGTGAGATGAGTTAACCTGTGGTCAGTGGTTCTAGCTGTCAGTATTTCCCCTCCTGGAGTAGCTCCATCTCATCAGTAGCTCCGTTCATCAGTAAGTAGGGGGTTGCCCTGATGGATTTAGGGCTGGCCTGCCCGCCTCTGACCATCCTGCCTGGCTTTGTGTCTCCTCTGCAGAACTGACTCATGAATTCCTGCAGATCCTCGAGAAAACTCCCAACCGGCTCAAACGCATCCGGAACTGGCGGGTAAGAGTCTGCTTTGTGGCTGCTTGCAGGAGAACGCGGGCCCTGAGGTTTTTTGTGTGGTGTCTCCAAGCATTACGAGGCCTGGAGGGCACGCGTGGGGGGGAGCCGAACACCGTGGGTCTGCAAAATGTTCCCTTGGCACTCGAGTGTCTCGTTTTTGAATTAATTCTATAGAAACTTTGGTCCTTAAACTGCTTTATCAGCCCCGTGCCTGGTTGTTTGGCATGAGGAGAGAGAGAGAGGGGCAGTGGGTGTCTGTCAGCCAGCAGGGAGGCTGCTCCCGCGTCCTTTCCGCGCCAGCCCCAGGTCAGTAACCGCTCGCTGCTTTCATTCAGGCCTCGCAGGCGGCCAGGAAGTCGAAGGCCGACGAGCACAGCGAAGACAAGAGCCTGTCGGAGCAGACCATCCTCAACATGATCTCCAGGAACAACAGCTCGGACATGAACATCGCCGGCCTGATGAGCATGTCCACGTCCTCCACCGCCGCCGGCGCGGGGCCGGCCCTGCCGCCTTCCACCGAATCCCCCCGCGAGCAGAGCGGCACGGAGGCGGCGGCGGGGGCTCAGCCGGAGCACTGGCTGGCCCAGCATCCTCCCCCCAAACTGGAAAGCTCCCAGGGCCACAGGACTAGCGACGGCTCGGCGGCCGAGCACCCTCTGCAGCAAGATGGCGCTGCTTATCAGAAGCAGGGCGGCAAGAACGCGCCGGCGGCCAAGGTGTCGCTGAAGGAATACCGAGCCAAGCACGCCGAGGAGCTGGCGGCGCAGAAACGGCAGCTGGAGAACATGGAGGCCAACGTGAGGTCCCAGTACGCCTACGCCGCGCAGAATTTGCTGGTCCAGCAGCAGCGGGAGAGGGAAGTCCAGCAGGAGAGCAACCCCTCGCCCATCATCTTGAAAATCCCCATCGGTTCGGAGAACCCCGAGCGCCCTCCCGGCCCCGAAAAAGGTGACAAAGCCTCGGCTCTCAAGCTGAGGATCCCGGTGACGGGCGGTGGAGGGGGCGAGAGGCCGCTCCCCTCCAAGCAGGAGGAGATCAAAATGCGCATCAAGGTGCCGAGCGCCGCCGACAGGCCCGGCTCCCTGGACGAGAGCGGCGCCAAGAGCCGGGAGCACAAGGAGAAACACAAGGGCCACTCTTCCAACCACCACCACCACCACCACAACCATCACTCGCACAAACACTTGCACCCCCAGCTCGCCGCCGGCCCCAGCGGCGTGGTCAACAAGCGCCCGGGAGACTCTAAACACCTCGCCCCCCCCAGCGCCGTGCCCCACAAAAGCTACGGCCTCTTTGGCTCTTCCCGCAAGAGGCCCCCGCCGGAGGAGGTGGCGGCGGCAGCGGCGGCGAGCGCGGCGCCCCACGAGCACCAGCCCAAAATCAGCAAAAGCTCCAAGGGCTCCGGGGCTCAGTTCCAGTATCCTCACCTCCCCGGTCACGGCTCGGAGGCTGGAGGCCTCCCTTTACCAACCCCAACGCCCAAAAACCGGGGACCCCACGGCAAATCGGACAAGGGGCCGGCGGGGGCCAACGGGCACAACGCCAACCAGGCCAGTGACTACCAGGATACGGTCAACATGCTGCACTCGCTGCTGAGCGCCCAGGGCATGCAGCCCACCCAGCCCCCAGCCTTCGATTTCCACGCTTACGGCGAGCTTTTGAACCCCCCCTCCCGGGCAGCCGCCGCTTCCAGAGCCGCCAACACAGACAGACCCCGGCCCCCCCCACTGCCCTCAGAACCGCCCCCGCCGCTGCCTCCCCTCCCCAAATAATTCCTTTTTACTACTGAATCGGGACAAATCGGCCTGCCTGCCCCATTTTTTTTCCCCCCGCCCGCCCCCATACCCTGCCCCTGCGGTGGAGGGGAAGGGCTGTTGGTGTTCCCCACCCACCCCCCCCGAGAACTCTTTTATTAGAACTTTTCTTATTTCCTCGCGAGGAGCCCTCGAAGCTGTGAAAGGACAAAATCCCTTTCTCTTCCTCGCTTCCCTCCCTCGCCGACTTCCCAGTTAACAGCAGGGTTTGGCCCTGCTGGAACTGAACCCCCCCCCAATTTGGGGAACACATCGGGTGGGGGCCCGGGGAGGGGATTATTTAAAACATGTTGCAGAAAAAAAACCACGAGATGTTTTACAAATAATTTAAGCAGTAACTTATATCTTTTAGACTTTTTGTTCCTTTTTAAGTTTTGTGATGCTGGCAGGTGCTGCGGGGGCTCTCCCAACCCCCCCGGCGAGACTCGGGGCCCCACTCGCGTGGCTCCGCTCAAGCTGATGGTGACAGAAAGTGGGTCGAGGAGCTTTTTGGGGTCAGAACGGAGGAAAACGGTGCGTGGGGAGGGAAAGGGGCCGCCGGGCTGGGCAGGCGGCTTGCGCCGAAGGTTTTTGGGGTGCTCCCGGTTTTGGGGTGCTCCTGGTGGTGGTGGAGAGGGGGTGGCGTGCGAAGGGCCAGCAGGGTGCTGAGCCCTGGTGTCTGCAGGACGTGATGCGAAGCCCAGAGCCCGCTCTGGGTGTGGGAGCGAGGCACTGGTGAGACTGGGCAGGGCTGGAGGGGGCCGCGGGGCAGCTCTGGGGGGAGCCCTGCCTGCGCCGCAGCTCCTCCCGCCACCAAAACCCGAAATTAAACCCGAAATCTGTGGCCGAGGGCGCCTGCCTCGTGGTGGTGGGGGGGTCTGACGTTTTTGGAAAAGCCGAACTTGTTTTGTTGTTCAGCCTCTCACTTTTCCAGACTTCAATAAACGTTATCGTCTCCACCCGGCTTCTGCCAGGCTCCTTCTCTACGCCGAGCTCCGCGTGTTCCTACACTTGCTGCCATCCCTAGGGGTAAATCCCTGCAGGTTTTGGGGTCACTTCCCACATTTTGGTCAACCTGGGTGTAAATCCCTGCAGTTTTTTGGGTCAGTTCCCACAATTTGGCCAACCTGGGTGTAAATCCCTGCAGTTTTTTGGGTCAGTTCCCACAATTTGGCCAACCTGGGATTAAATCCCTGGAGTTTTTGGGGTCAGTTCCCACATTTTGGTCAACCTGGGTGTAAATCCCTGCCATTTTGGGGTTGGTTCCCACATTTTGGCCACCCTGGAGGTAAATCCCTGCATTTTTGGGGTGATTTCTGTGTTTTGGGCTCATCCTTCCTTTGCCCTTTTCCTTTTGGAGCCTGGGCTGGGAGCCTCCAGCTCCCGAGGGGTGGTTTTGGACATCTCCAGGAGGCTCTGGGGTCATCGAGGCTTTCCCTGGGGGGCTTTTGGGGCTCTGGCTTTTGCCCCAAAGATTTTGGGACCGGCCCCCAGCCAGGCGCGCCCCCGGGGGACTCTCCCCCAACCCCAGCCACGTGCAGGCGCGGCCACGTGGCGGCTGCCCCTCACGTGCCCCCCTTCCCCGGGGCGTGGCTTCACTGAGTGACATCGAGCTCAGCCAATCGCGCGCCGCGGGCCGGCGGCTGGGCGGGCCAATGAGGAGGGGCGTCTGAGGTGAAGGGGGCGGGCTGTGCGGGCAGGCGGCGGGGAGGCCGCGGCGGCAGCGAGGTAAGATGGCGGCGGCGGCGCCCGCCCGCTTAGGACCGGCGGGGCCCTTTCCTAACGGCCCCTCCGAGCTCCCCGGGAGGCTCCCCCGGGATCCTCTCGTTCCTCCGCCGCTCTCCTGCTCCGCCGCCGGCGCCGGGATGCGCTGGGGGAGGGAGCGCCCCTCACGCTCGCCGCCCGCGGACAAAATGGCGGCGGCCGGGGCCGGCCGGGCGGCGGCGCCAGGGCGCATGCGCGAGGGCCGGCGCGGGGGGAGGCCGGCGGAGCACGTGCGGGGAGGGGGGGGGGGGGGGCGCTAGGACCCTGCGGGGGGGGGTTGGGGCCTATTGGGGGGGGCCCAGGGGGTCCTAGGGGGGTTTAAGGGGGGATTAAGAGAGGTCTGGGGGGGGTCCTGGGGGGGCAGGGGGTCGGCAGGGGGTCCTAGAGGTGTTTAAGGGGGGTTTTTAAAAGCGTCTGGGGGGTCCTAGGGGGGAGTAGGGGGTGCTGGGGGGGGTGCAGGGGGTCCTAGGGGGGGTTAAGGGGGTTTAAGAGGGTCTGGGGGGGGCAGGGGGTGCTAGGGGGTTTAAGGGGGTCTAGGGGGGAGTAGGGGGTTCTGGGGGGGTCGTGAGGTGCTGGGGGGGAAGAGGGGGTTCTGGGGGGGGTGCAGGGGGTCCTGGGGGGGCTAAGGGGGGTTTTAAGAGGGTCTGGAGGGGTCCTGGGGGTGCTGGGGGGGGTGCCATGGGGTAGGGGAATTGGGGTGTCCTCCGGGGATCTCTGTTTTTTCCCTGGGGACCCATTTGGACCCATTCCCCCCCACCCCCGGGACCCCCCTGTTTCCCCCCCCTTATCCTCCCGGGACCCCCGTTTCACCCCCTGGAACCTGTTTCTAGCCCCTGGGGGCCCCCCCTTTTACCCTGGGTTCCCCCATTTTTTCCCTGGGGACCCGTTTCACCCACCAGGAACCCCAGTTTCTGCACTGGCGACCCCCATTTCCTTCCCCAGGGACCCCTCTTCCCCCCCCTAAGGGACCCTTCACTGTAGGATCTTCTTCATCCCCCCCCCAATGCCTCAGCAGGACGAGGATTCGCACTGGGATGCCCTGGCAGGTGTCAGCGTGGGCCGCGTGGTTCATTTCCTTCCTCCTAATTCCTTTGCCCTGCTTTTTTTTTCCAGCTGTTGGCATGAACAGAATCCGCATCCACGTCTTGCCTTCGAGCCGAGGCCGCCTGACGCCGGTGCCGCGGCCCCAGGAGCCTCTGGCATGCGCCTTCAGCCACCGGCAGTGCTCGCAGCCGCGCCTGGAGGGCCAGGAGTTCTGCATCAAGCACATCCTGGAGGACAGGAGCGCCCCTTTCAAGCAGTGCAGCTACGTCTCGGCCAAGAACGGAAAACGCTGCCCCAACGCTGCCCCCAAACCGGAGAAGAAGGATGGGTGAGTCCTGCCGGTCCTCTGCTCCCCCGTCAGAGCGAATTAAAACGGGCAGGGGAAGGATTTTTGCGTTCAGCATGGGTGTTGCGGGGCCTTTTCCTTCAGCTGCTGCGCTGAAGTCAACCTCAGGCACGTTTTTGAAGCGTTTCTGAGCTAGGAGAAGGCTCCTCAAGCGCTGGGGACTTGGCGTGGAGCCTTTCTGCTCCCCGTCTGCCCTCTGCCATCACGAGGTGGCTGCACCTTGGTCAGAGCTGGCCTTGCACCCACGTACGTGCCCCAGCAAATTGGAGTCTGTTTTTATGGCTCATCCTCAGCGTGTGTGCTCTGCTTGTGTTGGATTTGGACTTGCTGTGGCTGGAAGGAGCTCAAACATCAGCACATCCAGCCAGCACGTCAGGGGGGGGGGTTCATTTTTACTCCTGGGTGCATCTCAACCCGCGTCTCATCCTCGGAGGTTACCAAGAACAGTGCTAGTCTTGATTCTGCCCTCGGTCCCTCTGCGATAAAAAAATCTCCGTCGGCTTTGGCCAGCCTGAAAAGTCCAGTGTGGACGTTTGGAAGCAGAAGAGCTCGCCTCAGTGGCTTGAAGTAAAAAGCTCTTTTCTCTCTCTGCTCCTGTGCCGCGTGGCTGCCAGCTCCGCAGCTCGGGCTGGTGTCGGAGCGGCGCTGTGCGGTCTGCGAGCCACCTGGGGCTCTCTGGCATTTCCCTGCCCTACCTGCAGCCAGGGGCGGGCGGTTTTGTTCCTTCTGGTGAGAGGTGGGGGCAGGCTGAATGTTTCTCAGTGTCTCGCTTGTTCGTTTTGCTGGCTTGAGCGGGTGATTTATCCCTGCAGCGTGTCGTTCTGCGCCGAGCACGCCCGTCGGAACACGCTGGCGCTCCAGGCTCAGATGAAGAAATCCAACCCCGGGCCCGCGAGCGAGACTCTCCTCTGCCAGCTCAGTTCTTACGCCAAGAGCGAGCTGGGCTCCCAGGCCGCAGAGAGCAGCCGCAGCGAGGCCAGCCGCATCCTGGGTAAGCACAGAAAAAAAAAGCAAAAACCACGACCTGGTGCTCTCCTTGCCATGGAGAAGTGAGGGTAGGGCTTGGTAAAGCCAGCGAGGAAAAGATCCACGGGGACAGGACTGTGTTCTGCAGCCCCTGCTGCGTCTTGGTGCAGGGGAATCACACCACCAGCCCCAAATCCTGCAGGTTTCCTTGCAGAAACCCTAGCTAGCTTCCCTCTGCACTGCTTGGTGCCTGGCAGACCCCGGTGCTGAGCTCCCCGACCTGTGGGGTCGCTCGCTGGGCACCACCGTGGCCCCTAGCCAGGTGGGTGCAGTCAAAACAGCCCCCAGTTGGTGCATTTCTTCTCATTCCATGTCCCTGCTGGGGAAGAAAAGCCTCTTTTTGGCACGAAACAGAGCAAATTCACCTCCTGGGGGGCTGTGGGGCTGTGCCCCGTCTCTCAGTGCCCCTCGTTCCTCAGATGAGGACAGCTGGAGCGACGGCGAGCAGGATCCTATCACCGTGGAGCAGACGTGGCGAGGGGACCCGGACAGCGAGGCTGACAGCATCGATAGCGACCAGGAGGATCCCTTGAAGTGAGTGGGTGGCTGCTGTGGGTGACACAGAGCCTTAGCTCGGGGTGATAGCGGGAAGCAGCCGTTAACGAGGTGATTTTATTAACGATGCTGCGCTGGGACTCGGTTCTGGGGTGAGTTTCTGGGTGTGAATGCTTGCCAGGGCTTTGCCTGGTGGTTTTTGGAAGCCTTTGGTGCTGATCCTCCTTCAGCCTGGAGCCAGCCATGCGAGCTGCACTCTTGGGGTGCTCCCTTCATTGAAATTAGGACTAAAAATTGATATTTCTGCTTCTCACCCCCTGCTCTGTCTGCCTCAGCCCCTCTCCAGCAGCATTTCTGCCAACACCTGCATCACCCAGCGAGGGGAACGGCCCCGAGGGCCCTCCCAAACCATCCCCTGCTTCTGTGGGTGTTTTCCAGGCACGCTGGCGTGTACACGGCCGAGGAGGTGGCGCTGATCATGCGAGAGAAGCTGATCCGCCTGCAGTCCCTCTACATCGACCAGTTCAAGCGGCTCCAGCACCTCCTGAAGGAGAAGAAGCGGCGATTCCTGCACAGCCGCAAGGGCGAGCACGAAGCCATAGGCAAGTACCGGTGCAGGCAGCCACTGGTGCGTATCCTTCCGTCCGAGGGCACCGTCTTCTCTAAAACACGCAGAAATCTACCTTTAAAACATGTTTTTATTTAAAAAAGGGGTAGCCAGGGGATTTCTGTGGCTGGCCCCGCGCCTACAGATCGGTATCGTTTGGGTTAGAGGGGTTGCCGGATTTCTTTGCTCTTCAAAGTTTGCTCTCTTGCCAGGAAATGAGACTACAAAGTTAATTCGGAGACAAAAGTGCTTTTTTTGTATGGGATTTCCTGTTTTTGGTCTTATAAACAACACAAAAATTTATTCATCTGCAGGCTCCTGTCTGCATGGGTAGAGGTTTGTTTCGGTAGCTGCACCGGTGCTGCTGTAATGACGTCGTCCTTAGCACGGATGCAACTTTTTTTTACAAAATCACTGCTGCCTGGCTTGGATTTCTCCCTAAAAATGGTGTCAGATGCTGGAGCTGGTGGCTGAGCAGAGGCAGGCCCACGTTACAGAACGGGCTGAGAGTTTACAGAGCAAGGAACGCTTCCCCAGCGTGCTCTTATAATAGCTCGTCTCGGAAAGTAAAAATAACTGGAAGTTTGGTACATAACAATTTGGGAGGACTCGTTTTAGCAAAGCAGAGCTGCAGATCCTGACCGCTGCCCTGTAATTACAGCTGGGAGGACTTACGGGAAGCTTCCAGAACTTGCACGGGAGCGAGCTGAAATTTGAAAAAAATTGATATTCTGCCTCTAGAAATCACACTCAGCTTCGGCCAAATTATTTTTAAAAGAGGGTTAAAAATAACCAGCCTGAGAACTCCTTGCAGGCACAGGGCAATCGGGATAAGTTTCGGGATGGAGTTTGCTTTGTCATCCTCTGGTGGAACCCCAAGATGAGCTCCCTGTGTCAACTCCTGTCACCAGCCAGCTGCTGGAGCTCTCCAGGGCCGATTTTGACTCTTGGAACCCAAAAAAAACGAAACAGGAACAGCGGAACAGCGTGGCAGGTGGGTGCGTGCTGTTTTCACTGATCCCTCCCTCGTTTCTCACAGGCAGCAGCCTCCTGACGGGCCCCGAGGGGCTCATGGCCAAGGAACGCGAGAACCTGAAGCGCCTCAAGTGCCTGCGGCGCTACCGGCAGCGCTACGGCGTCGAGGCCCTGCTGCACCGGCAGCTGAAGGAGCGCAGGATGCTGGCGACCGACGGCGCTGCCCAGCAGGTACGTCGCCAGCTCAGGGCCTGCTTGGGGTTTGAAAAGAGCTTTTTGAAAGGGGGAGCTCTGACTTTGACATGGAAAATGTTCCTGGGCGTGGCGGTGACGTGCAGACTCCTCCCAGACCTGTGGGGACCCGAATTCGGGCCCTTGCAGCGTACACAAAACTAAATTTGGAGCTGTTTCAACCAAAATTTAAAGCCTTCCCTTAACTGGCTCCTGAAAGTTAGGAGATAAGTCGGAGAAAACCCATTCTCTGCGACAAACTGATGAGGTGAGGCTCTTTGGATGTTGACTTTCCGTGTTATCTCAGCCCTGTCTCAACAAAAGCATGAATGGGAAGGAGATAATGAGGGCGAGGATGCGCTGTAGTGCAGGAGACTTTAATCTTGGCGCGTGTTGAAAGCAGAATCCGGGTGTTGTGTGGCTGGGGGGGGGGTTTTGGAAAGCCCACAGAGCTCTGAGCTGTTCTCCTGGCCTTGCAGGCGCACACCACCCGCTCCAGCCAGCGGTGCCTGGCCTTTGTGGATGACGTCCGATGCTCCAACCCGTCCCTGCCGATGACCAGGCACTGCCTTACTCGTATCCTTTCATCTCAGGCCCAACTTCCAGGGGTTTGATCCTCCTTTTTTTTTTTTTTTTCCCTTTTTGGCCCTGAATCAAGGCCGTCGGTTTGCTGTAGCCGTTGGTTTCAAACAGGAGCCCAAAGGAATTTTCTTCCTGTGGTCCGCTGGCCGAGCCAGAGCATCTCCGGGGTGCGGCCAGGTCACTTGGAAGTGACAAAGGGACCTCGTGAAGCCCGAGGCAGGCCCGAGCTGGCTGCCAGCTGTGGTAAGGGAGGATGAAAACAAACCCACGCTGCCTAAATCCCTGCTCCTGCCTTGGCTCTGAGTGCCAACAGCCATCGGAGCGGGGTCTGCCGAGCTCCTGGTGCAGGAGGTGGGTGTAGGAAGGGATATCTGAGCGCTGCAGCACTGCTTTGGGGCAGGAATTGAAGGAAGGGGTAAATTTCGGCCTGGCTGGGGCTCCCTGGGCCAGTTGTGCCCCTCTTGTGGCATTGGGACAGGGCGGATCCGGCCAGGAGCAGCTCGGGGCCATGCTCGCAGCTGCTGTGAGTCAGGAGCAGCCCCGGATCCCGGAGCAGAGCTGGCAGGCAGGGGAGGATGAGCTCTGGGTTTGTTTTCTTACTGGAGCTGGCAGATCCTCCTCCAGCTCTGCGCGGGGAGCAGGAAGCTGCCATTGTTTCTCTCCAGCGGCCGTACACTTGAAAATAAAGGCAGGATAAATACCTACAAAACGCTTCGAGCCAGTTGCTGTTTGCAGGTGGCTGGGAGCAGGGGCAGGGAGTGGAAAAAAGGTTTTCTTTCCTCGTGGCTGAGCCCTCAGCTGACTTTGGCTGCCACAAACAAGATCTTTGCTTCGAGTAGCCCCGGCGAGCCGATAACATCTGCAGCCTGCCGCGCTTTGCGCCTTGTGGGGAGGCTCTGGGGCTTTGTTTGGTTTTCCAGAAGCTCGATTGTTTGCCACGGGGCGTTACGGGGAGCGCAGCAGCTGAGCTGTCAGGCTCCAGGTGGAGCTGGGGCTTTCGTCGTCTTGGCAGCCGCTGCTTTTTGGCTACCAGGAGAGCGAGCGCTTGAGCTGGAGTCATCGGGAGAGATTAAAATCTGGCATCCCCGCCCTGCCGCTCCTGCAGAGACGCTTTCCTCACCCCCGAGTGCCTGCTCAGTCTGGCTTCTTGGGGCTGAGCTCTGCACCGTTAGGGCCAGCACTAATTAGGGGCTCTGCCAGGAGGCTTTGAGAGCCCGTGGATGCTTCCTCAGTGCACAGAGGTGAGGGGGGAGAGGACAAATCCGAAGGAAACCTCGTCAGCTTGGGGGACGGGGTTAAACTCGGCGCCTCTGGCCACCACGTGTGGGTTTGGAGGTTTGGTTTTCCTCTCCCACCCCGCGTAGTGTGAAGGGAGCTTGTCAGACGTTGAGGACATCAGCCTGCCGGGTGTTTGGGTGGGTTTGTTGGTGAGATATCCATCCTGAAAGCCTTGCTTCATGCTCGAGATGTGCTGTGGCACCCAGCGGGGGTTGTCACAGGGTGGAGAGACCCCGGGACACGACCCCAGGGGTGTGGGGAACGCCGCCGCGTGCATCTGGTGCTGGATGAGGATGGGGTTTGGGCTCCTGCTGCTGCTGGGGGATCGCTCTGCGAGCGCAAACGCGATCGGAGCAAAGCCCTCTGGTTGTGATTAAAGGCAGGAAATCCCATTTACACCTCTGGCAGGAATAGGTTTTCCACTGGGAAGGAAAATGCAGTGGGAAGCTGGAAATAACCGGAACCCAACTCCTGGCGGTGGGAGCAGCATTGTGCGCGCTGCCGTCCCCGCTGCCTGCTGGACCTGGAAACCGGTGCAGACGCCTCTGAAATGGACGTCTGCAAATCAAAGTGAGCCCGGGCATGTGGAATATCTTCCAGCTGAGGATCTGCGAGTGCTTTACGGGATCCAGCTAAGCCTTCCAGTCCCCCCCCCGGGGGGCCGTAGCTGTTGTCCCCGTTTTCCATCATGTGAGTACCGTGGCTCAGGGCGCAGCTGCGGAGCCTGGGCTTTGGCCTGGCACAATTGTAGGGTTTTTCACCTTAATCTGGAGGGCGGGAGGATGCGTGGGGAGCCCGGCAAGCTTCGTAGTCCTCGTCTAGCTTGCCCGCTGCAAGGCGCAGGTTTCCCTTGACCGCATTTTGCCAGACATCTGCCAGGACGCTAACCAGACCCTGTTCAAGCCGTGTCAAGGCTCGGAGGAGGTGCCGTGCAACAAACCCGTTCCCGTCAGCCTCTCCGAGGAGCCCTGCTGCCCTCTCCACCTCCGCCTGCCCCCGCAGCTCTACGTCCCCGAGCAGGTGCTCTCTGTCCCCGAGGAGCTGGAAGCGGCCCCCACGGAGCTGTACCTGAGCGCTGCCGAGCTCCAGCCCACGGAGAGCTTGCCCCTGGAGTTCAGCGACGTAAGTGGGAGCGGTGGCCAAAAAAAAAAAGGGTCCTGCAGGAAAACTTGCCCAAAATTCGCTGCTTTCAGCACGTGCTGTGAATCCAGGCTGAGCTGCTGGTCCCAGAAAGCCGCTGCCTCTTGAAAAAATGAGCAGGAACCCAAAGGGTTTGAGAGATGCTTCTTTCAGCAGGGTTTGGAACAGCACAGGTTGTGACTGCTCCTTTCGAAGGGCCCTGCTCTTATTTAAATCAACATTCAGCTTTTTTTTATATATATATAAAAAAAGCAGATTTCTGCCCGCCTTCCTCTCCCAGGAGGGTTTTAATCCCCAGATTATTCCCATGTCCTGCCTGGGCGTTAAGCCTCCGTGCTTCAAATCCTTTGAAATTTGCTTGAGCAAAAAAAATCCCGTGGACATCGGGAGCTTGGTTTTCTATTCGGGTGTCCCCGAGACCTCGAGAGCTTCGGTCAGAGGGCAGATCTGACAACTGCTGCCAGCGAGGGCTCGCTCAGGGGCCGGGGGCTGCGGCGCAGAGCTCGTGGCGCTGCCGTGGGGCCGAGCTGGACCTGGCAGCACCGAGGTCGGCGGCGTTGGAGCTGCGCCCGGCTCCTTCCTGTGGGGCCGAGCGGTCGCGAGGCAGAGCCAAAGTGCAGCGGCGTCAACGCGGCCTTTGTGGGAGAGATTTTTTTCCAGGGTAGAAAGGAGAAACAGAGCCGCTCTTCTCCCCCCAGCCTGTCCCCCCAGAGGGCTTTTTAACTCTGTAGGATTTCAGGTGGTGCGGGCAGGAACCCAAAAACCCTGCCCCGTCCCTTTCAGGATGCATTTACCCTCTCTTGGAGGCAGCCCTGTGGGTGCGGGTGCCCCCTGTGTGCTGCTGGAGCGGGGTGCTGTGGGGCTGCCTGCTGTGGGGCTGCCCCGAGGCTTTTCCCCCAGAATTTGGGTGCCCCTGGAGAGCCCCACGTCCTCAGCTCGGACTGGGAGCTGTGGGGGTGTCCCGCGTCGTGGCAGCTTTGGGAAGTTCCACCCGGAGTCGTGGGCATCCCACCTCGGCGTTGGACACCCTCTGAAGCCCACCCAGCCTTTAAAAAGAGCCTTGTAGGGCCCCCCTGCCTCCTGCAGGAGGGTGTGGGCGGCAGAGAGGAGTAAGGGAGGAGCTGGAAACCCCAAAAAATAGCGGGGGAAGCAAAGTTTTGCTGAGTTCTGCTGAGTTTTGGGGAGGGGATGAAGCCGAGGGGCTGCCGGGAGGGCTCCTCCTTTGACGGGGCCGCTCTCCCTGTCCTCTCTTGTAGGACCTGGACGTGGTGGGGGACGGCATGCAGTGTCCCCCGTCCCCTCTGCTCTTCGATCCCTCCGTGGCCCTCGACCAGTCCCTCAGAGACGTGGCCGAGGCCCCCGTAGACATCCTGGCCCTGGAGGAGCCGTCCCCTCCCGGAGGAGCCGACCGAGGGGGCTCTGCCCACGGCTTCCCCGAGCCTCCTGCGCAGGTACGGATGGAGCAGCGCATCTGGGGGGGGGGCTCCAGACCCAGCACGGCCCCTGCTGCGGGCAAAATTTTGTCCCCAAAGCTGTGCCCGAGCCTGGGCGGTGCCACCACGGTCCCTGCGTGCCCGCGGGTGGCTGCTGTGTCCCCACGGCTCTGGGGGGGGGACCAGTCCTCCCCCCGGGTGGCACTGTGGCTGTGATGGGGTAGGGACCTCTCAGCTGCAGGCTGGGGATGGGATTTGGGGCTTTTTTCTCCCTGTTTGGGCAATTTGGGGGCAGCAGTTGCCTTTGTGCAAAGGGCTTGGATTTTCGTTCCCTTCACCCTGCTCTCAGCGGGGTGGTTTTGTCCCTTGTGATGCTCACCATGGGGGGGTTTTGGGGTTTCTCTCAGCTGCCCCATCCCGTCTGCTGTCCCCCCCTTTGGCTGATGCCCCCCATAGCTGGGTTTAGGGACGGGGATCCCCCCCCAGGCCCTGAATGAAGGCCGCCGGTTTGCCGTAGCCGCTGGTTTCAAGCAGGAGCCCAGAGGAAAATCCTCCCGGTCTGTTGGCGTTCCCGACCCCATGGAACAACCAATTCGTGTGGGAGCGACACGGGGCCGAGCCCCCAAACCCCTATAACCCCCCTAAAACCCCCCCGCACCCATCCCACTCTTTTCTTTTTCTCTCCTGGCCAGAACCTCCTGCGCCCAGGGCCCCCCGAGGAGACGGCGGCCGCCAACGGGAACCCGGAGCTGGCGGCCGGGAGCTGAACTGGGAGCGAGCAAGGGGCTTCCCTACAGCACAGAGCCCCCCCCAGTACCACCAGTAGCACCTGTGGAGGAACAGAAAGAGGCTGCAGACCCCCCCCTGTGTAGGGTCCTGCACTGTGGTGGTTGTGGGGTGGGAGGCGAGGACCCACCCGCGACAAGGAGGAAGCCGGAGGGGTCCCGGGGGGGGGATTTTTTGGGGAAGGGGGGACACGGAGCTGTGTGGGGACACCGGGGGGTGGTGCTGGGCTGTCCCCATGTTCCCCCTGTCCCTGTAGGGTCGGGGGAGTGCCTCCCCACTGCAGGTGACCCCCCCCTCAATAAAGATCTTGGATCTGGACCCCAAAAGCGTCCCCAGGTCGTGCTGCGAGGGTTGGGGGGGGATAAATGGGGAGGGGGGGGGCAAGCCGGTGCCCACGGGGGGCTCGCGTTATACCGGGGGGGTGGGTACGGGGGTGGGCGACCCCCCAGGGTCCTTCCAAAGCCCCATTCCCCCCCCGGTGCCGCCCCCAGCCCCGGTACCGTGTCCGGTGCCAACCCCGGGGGGGAATCGGGGAGGGATGCGGGTGGGGGGGGGGGGCACCGGGACGTGCTCGGGGCGACCCCGGCCGTGACCGGGGGATGCGGCGGCGGCCCCGGGACCCCCCCCAAACCCCCCCCGCCCCCGGGCTCGGATTGGCGGCGGCGGGGGCGCAGGGCGGGGCCGGCCCGGTGGAGCCATGACATCACCGCCGGTCCCAGCCCCGGGCCCCGTCCCGAGCCCGGTCCCGGCCATGCCGGCCCGAGCCGCCGCCGCCCCTCCGTAACCCCCGGTGAGTCCGCGGGGGGGTTTTGGGGGGGGCAGGAGGAGGAGGAGGAGGAGGAGGAAGGGGAGGGGGGAGGGGGAGCGGAACGGAGCCGCCGCCGCCGTTACCGGCGGGTCCCCGGGGAAGTTGGGCCGCAGCTCGGGGGAACCGGGAACGGGGGAGCCGCCGCCGGGCAGGGCTCTGAGCGCAGCCCCCGGGGCTACCGGGCCCCGGGAGGAGGAGGAAGAGGAGGAAGAGGAGGAGGAGGAGGCGCGGGGCGGCCCGACCTGGCCCCCCCCGGGATGTCCCCGCAGCGTCCCGGCCGCCCCGGTGCGTCCTCGGTGGGTCCCCGGTGTCCTCCCGGTGCGTCCCCGGTGTCCCCCCGGTGCATCCCGGCTGTCCCCTGTGCCTGCCTCCTCCATCCCCGGTGTGTCCCTGCTGTCCCCGTTGTGTCCCCAGTGCATCCTGGCCGTCCCCAGTGTGTCCCCGGTGTGTCCCCGCCGTCCCCTGCCCGTTGTTCCCAGGTGTCCCCGAGGTGTCCCCCCCCCTGTCCCCTGCCACATCCCGGCTGTCCCTGGTGTCCCCCCATCCCCGGTGTCCCCCCCGCTGTCCTCCATCCCACCCGCGTGTCCCCGCTCCATCCTGGCTGTCCCCTCCGTGTCCCCGCTGTCCCCAGGGCATCCTGGCTCTCCCTGCCGCGTCCCCACCGTGTCCCCACCGTGTCCCCACCGTGTCCCCAATGTGTCCCCACGGTGTCCCCACTCCCCTCAGGCTGCTCCTCCAGCGCATCCCGCTTGTCCCCAGAGCATCCCGGCTGTCCCCGGGGTGTCCTCGCTGTCCCTGCCGCCTCCCAGCTGTCCCCAGTGTCCCCAGCACATCCCGGCTGCCCCAAAGGGACCCCAGCAGCAGCACGGCGGGGCTGGGGGCGCTCAGGGCCGTCCCCCCGTGTCCCCAAATTTGTGGTGGTGACGTGGGGCAGGCCGAGGCCACCCTGGGGGACAGCAGGGTGGCTGGGGACACTTCCCCGCCGTGCTGGTGTCCCCGCAGCCGGGTGGTTTGGGCACGTGCTGCGTCCCCGGTGGCCGCTGTCCCTCAAACCAGGGTGACAACGGGGCCCTGCTGGGACTGGGGAGGGCGAGCTGGGCTCCGAGCCCCCCCGGCCCTGCTGCGGCCACGTCCCTGTCCCCTCCTGCTGCCCCAACACCGTCCCCGCTCCATGTCCCCGTGCCAAGGAGGGAACGGCCGCAGTGGCGAGGCCTTGGGGGGGCTGCGGGCGGCTCTTCCCCTCCAGACAGAGCCTCACTTCCCCCCCGTGACGCAGCCGGAGCCGCTGGCCCCGGGGCCGCTTCCTGCGCCGGGGGGCTGAGAAGGGGCCGGGGGGGACACCACGTGCAGCCCGGGGGTGCAGAGGGGACACAAGGGACAGCACGGGGACGGCACGGGGACGGCACGTGCGAGGTGCGGCTGCGTGGTGGGGCGCGGGGCCGAGGTCCCGCAGTGCCTCGTGGTGGGGAGGGGGCTCGGGAGAAACCCCCCAGGCCCTGCTGGGGGAACACGGGCACAGCTTCGGGCACCGGTGCCACCCTCGTGGTGCCGAGAAGGTGGCGGAGGTCGCACCGGGGGGCTCGGCTGCTCCCGGCCTCGGCCTGGATGGCGATGGCGGGGTCCTGGGGTGGCCTCGTGGGGTCCCTGGGGGGGCTGAGGTGCTGCGAGAGCTGCACCCCGAGCTCGGCCCTTCCCCTCCTGGCTGGGGGTGAGCTGCTGGCTTGAATCCCTCCTTTGTGGGGTGGCCGCACGGCCCCTCACCCACCAGCACCCCAAAAGCCTCCCTCTTACCCTCTCCGCTCATCCCGGTGCCGACCCCGCAGCCAAACGGCACCGAGGCCCCCGATCCCCGCCTGGCTCCGCCTGGGTTATGGGGGTCCCGACCCCCCCCCCTCTTCCCACAACCCTGCCGAGGGTCCTGCCCCCCAAAAAACAGAGCCGGGTGCCCTGCGGGACCTCGCTCCGTGGGGTGCTGGGGGGCTCCGAGCCCCCTTTTTGGGGAGGATTCCCGGTTCCCCCGGGTGCTCGGTGCCCCGGGGGGGGGGACGGGGACCCTGGGGCGGTGCTGCCCGGTTCGTGGCCGGTTCCCCGGTTTCTCCCCGCCGGGGGCTGCGGGGCCGGAGCTGGCGGAGCCGCGCACCGGGGGCGGCGGCGGCGGCGACCCCGGCTCCTCCCCGGCCGCGGTGGGAAGGCGGAGCTGTGCCGCCGCCGCCTCCCAACAATAGCGCGGCCGGGCCGGGCCGGGATGCAACCGGGAACGCCGCCGGGACCGGCCCCGGGGCTGCGGGGAACGGAGCCGGGAGGAGCCGCCGGGAGCTGCGGGCTGTGAGTGCGCGGGGCTCGGTTCTCGGCTCCCGGTTCCCGTTTTTCGGTTCTCGGGTCCCGGTTCCCGGGGCCCGGCCGCGTTCCGGCGCGCACGGAGCGGCCCCGGGGCGAGCAGCGCGGGGAGGCACCGGCACCACCTTGAAGGGGGGGGGGGTGGGGGAAAAACTCCGGTGTAACCGGGCTGCCCAGCCCCCGGGGGGGCCCCTCCGCACCCTGGGGGCTCCGTGAACCCCCCCGGTGCCAGCCCCTGGGCTCCGCACCCACCGTGGCCACCCGGTGCGCGGCGACGCCGGTGCCAACCCCGGTGTTCCCCAAAAGCACCGGGACCCCCAGTGTCCCCCCCCCCGACATCTCAGCCCCCGGTGTCCCCCACAGGTGACGCTGCAGAGGGGACGTCTGCGCTGTCCTGGGGGGGGATTCTGGGCCTGGCAGCGCCCCAGGAGGGGGGGACACGGCGGCCTCGGCTGCGTCCCCTGGCAGGCAGCGATGTCGGAGAGCGCGGCCGAGGCGCAGGGAGATGAGAGCCCCGCGGCACGCGGCGACACCGGCAGCAGCCAGGAGCTCCTGCAGCGGCTGCGGGAGCTGGAGGTAACGGAGGGGGAGCGGGAATTGGGGCCACCGGGCAGCCCCGGACGGTGCCACCACGGCAGCCGGTGTCACCACGCAGCCGGTGCCACCAAGCAGACGGTGCCGTGGTGCCAGCGCCCTGGGGACACTTTGGGGACAGCTCCCACCTTCTCAGTGGTGCCCCCATTCCTGGGGTGGAGCAGCTGGGGACAGCCCCGTCCCCCAAGTGTGCAGCCCCCAGCAGGCAGAGGAGGGTTCCCTTGGTGCCACGGGGGGGTCACCAAGCGCCCAGGCCCCTCGGCAGCGTCCCCTGAATTGTCCCCTCCCTGTCCCTAGGCGGAGAACTCAGCCTTGGCTCAGGCCAACGAGAACCAGAGGGAGACCTACGAGCGCTGCCTGGATGAGGTACTGGGGGCACTGGGGCTCGCTGGGGGGGGGGCACACGCGTGTGCCAGGGCACGGGGCTGCGTGTGCCCTCTGAAGCCCCCCCCTCCAAGATCCTCTCTTTTTCCCCAGGTCGCCAACCACGTGGTGCAGGCGCTGCTCAACCAGAAGGTGGGTGGCTGGGGGGGTGTCCGTAGGGCTTGGTGGGGGGGGGGGGTCCTGGAGGAGCTGGGGTGACGCTTCCATCGTTGTGTCCCCCCCCCCCCCCATTCCAGGACCTGCGTGAGGAGTGCATCAAGCTGAAGAAGCGCGTCTTCGACCTGGAGCGCCAGAACCAGGCGCTGAGCGACCTCTTCCAGCAGAAGCTGCAGCTCTCGGCCGGATCCCTGCCCCAGGTGCCATGATGGGGGGGCTGTATTAATGCTGGGGGTGGGCTGCGGGGGGTGGGTGTGAGGCACAGCCCCCCCCCTCAGCCATTTAACCTGGTGCTGCCTCCCCTCCAGCTGCCGCTGCACCCGGTGCCGGTGTCCCTGGATGTGCCAGGAAGCCCCCAGCTGGGCTCCACCGAGGAGCCCCCCGCCTTGCTGCCCCCCGGCTGCTGTGCCCCCCCGGCAGAGGTGGGTACCGGTGCCTCCGCCCCCCCCTGCATGCACCGTCCCCATTTCCATTGCCCTTTCCAGGCTTGGGGTGTCCCCAAGGCCGTGGTGAGCCCTCTGCGAGCCCCCAACATCCCCATCCCTGAGCCCCCTGCCATGGGGTGGGGGCTGCCCGCGGTGTCCCCGTCCCCATGCCCACGGTGTCCCCGTCCCCATGCCCATGGTGTCCCCTTCTCCAGGTCCACAGCGTCCCCTGCTCCTCCTGTGATGTCCCCAGTCCCCAACCCCTTTGTTCTGTCCCTGCCCCCAGTTCTGTCCCATCCCTGTCCCCAACCCCTCCACCCCTGGTGTCCCCAAGCCCGTGGCACCCCCCTAGCCCACCCCCACCACTCCCACG